TATTTTTAAAGTTTTAGATTTGTTTGACGCAATTGGACCAAAATATAAATTGTTAACATGTTAAAATAAAATTTCAGTCGAAACAAAAAAATAAATCGATATTTTCATTCTCATAATCGTTGCTCCTTTTATCCTACTTAAAATTTGATTAAAATATGCAAATTAAAGATAGTTGTAACCTATGTTAAATTCTAAACTCCTAAGATATGGATTCACAATCTTATTCCTTTAATTAATAAATTTACCTTGCATTCACAGTTAACAAATATTTTTGTATACTCGTAGCAAAATAGTGCTGAGTCTGAATCCAGAGAAAGAACTTAAAAACCATATGAATATTATTTAGTAATATGATACAATCACAACATCCTATAAATTTAATGTTAAGATTTGATTATGGTTAAAATGGATTAAATATATTTTAACCCATTTACATCAAAGAACTTTAAAAATAACGATTATAAAAATTGTCACTTTTCAATGGTATATCTTCATGAAATTTTAATTTAGCATGTTTACAATCTATATTTTTACCCATTTGCAACAAAAAAACCTTATTAACAACTATTATGACAATTGTAACTTATCTATGGTACATCTTCACTGAAATTTTATTTTAACATGTAAGCAATAATATTTTTGCCCATTTGCGTCTAAAAAATTCAAATAATTTAAAAAATAACGATTATGACAATTGTCACCTTTCTATGGTCATCCTCATGAAATTTTAATTTAACATGTTTACAATCTATATTTTTACCCATTTGCGTCAAAAATTTTTTATAAATAACGATTATGACAATTGTCACTTATCTAGGGTACATTTTTACTAAAATTTTATTTTAACATGTTAGCAATATTTATTTTAGCCCATTTCCGTCAAAAAAGTTATAAAATAACGATTATGACATTTGTCACTTTTTTATGGTACATCTTCATGAAATTCTAATTTAACATGTTTATAATCTATATTTTTATCCATTTGCGTTAAAAATATATAAAAACTTTAAAAATAACGATTTTGACAATTGTCACTTATCTAGGGTACATCTTCACTGAAATTTTATTTAAATATATTATCAATACTTTTTTGGCCCATTTACGTCAAAAAAAGTTTAAAAATATTGATTATAATAATTGTAACTTATCTAGGGCACATCTTCACTGAAGTTTTATTTAAACATGCTAGCAATATTTATTCTAATTCAAAAAACTTTAAAAATAACGATTATGACAATTGTAAGTTATCTATGGTACATCTTCACTGAAATTTTATTTAAACATATTAGCAATGCTTACTTTAGCCCATTTACGTCAAAAAAATTCAAAATAAACAACTATTATTACAATTGTCACTTTTCAATGGTAGAACTTCATGAAATTTTAATTTAGCATGTTTGCAATCTATATTCTTGCCCATTTGCAACAAAAAAATTGAAAAAACTTTATATACAACGATTATGACAATTGTCACTTTTCAATGGTAGATCTTCATGAAATTTTAATTAAGCATGTTTACAATCTATATTTTTACCCATTTGCAACAAAAAAATTCAAAAACTTTATAAACAATGTTTATGACATTTCTAACTTTTCAATGGTACATCTTCACTAATGGTACATCTTCACTAAAATTTTATTTTAACATGTAACTTATATTTTTGCCCATTTACGTCAAAAAATTGTTAAAAAACTTTAAAAATAATAATTATGACAATTGTCGCTTTTATATGGTACATCCTAATTGAAATTATAATTTAACATGTTAAAAATACATATTTTTGCCCATTAGCATTAAAAAAATCTAATATGTTTAAAAATACCGATTATGATAATTGCCATATTTCCAAGGAACATCTTCATTGAATTTAAACATCTTTACAATATAAATGATATTTTTACCCTTTTGAGTCAAAAAATTTCAAAAATCTTACAAAAACGAATATGACAATTGTCACATTAAATTATTTTCCTTAAAAAGATCATTTAAAATAACATAAATAAGTTGAATATAAATATTTAAAAAAATTATTTAGAAAACCCACCTCTTTTATAATATTTAAGAAATAGATAATTTTACGATAAAAAAAACTATAAAAGATTTCACTTAAAAATTGTATATTTATAATAAATTTCACAAAATAATTCCTCAAAAAAAATATATTTACAAAGAAGATTTAAATTTTTTTATCAAAATATGTTCAAAAATCTTTTTAAACTTCAAGAAATATTTTTTACTTAAAATCTTGGGCGTGAAAATTATTAATAAAATGTAACAAAAATAATATTACAATAGTAGCATATCATTTTTTATTAATTCGTAATATATTTATTGTTTCGCGGTAATGCGCTCGCGATAATGACTTCGCGCAAACATATTCGCGATAAAAATTCGCTCTAAAGTGTTCGCGTAAAACGTTTCGCTAAAATGTATTCGCTCTAATAAATTCGCGGTTAAGGTTTTGCGGAAATAAATTCACGATAATGGCTTCACGAAATTGTCTTCGCTATAAATGTTTCGTGATAAATTCGCAGAATTGGTTTCGCGATTTTACCTTCGCGATAAAAGTTTCGCTGAATTGACCTGATACGACAATGTTTAACCTTGCGCCAAAATATTTTAAACTCTCTTAGTGCGGGCCGCCTAACAGCACGAGTATTATTCATAACATTCACTTGCAATCTTACTTGGCCTAAAATAACTGATAATCTTTTTGCCGACCAACCCAACGATCAGACATAATTTGTAGGGGTTTAAAAATTAAATTAAGTGCGTTTTTATCGGATATCCTTAATAATATTTTGCAAATCATTAGCCTATGATTATACCATTGAATTTCTAAAAAGGGACTTGCCCTATGTCCATTTGTTATTTACACTATAGGAAAATAAAATTGAAACATACTAGACAGACATAAAAATCCCAAATTATTCATTATTGTTACAAGTTATATGATGCATGGGCCCTGTGAATTATCAATCCTCGATCACCATGTATGAATAAAGGCATATGTACAAAAAACTTTCCTAAGGATTTTCATAATGAAACCAAATCAAACATTAATGGTTACCCACTATAGAAAATAAGAAATTCAGGTACTGTTTTGATATCCGATAAACCGAAAGACAATCGGTTTGTTATTTCATACAATTTGTACTTCTAAAATATAACGCTCACATCAATGTTGAAACTTGTACAAAGGCTATGATTGTGCCAATATAGCATTAAGTGTAGATTCACCCTACTAAGCATAACGAAAATTAAAAATCACTTAAATGCACGGTATATTAGCTTATGTGAACCTATGTGACCCTTATTATAATTTCCTATGCATGATCGTACCCATGCTATTATTCGCTTAGCTGTTCATATGCTAATGAAACACTCAATTTATTTATGACTGGGTCATGAGAAAGCGACTATGAAAATAGCCCTTTCCAAAAATACAACTCTTACTGTATTGTTTATCCTAAATCAGATTTCCCCATGCGCTAGACAATACCTCTATGTTGATATACCATACCTACCTTCGTTTACTTCTCCATGTTCCTGGAATTTTTAACGAACTTCAGATGGTATATTGCTTTATACTTTTAAGCAGTATGCTACTAAGAGATCATTGTTATCTGATGATAATGAGTGGGAACAGTGTCTTGATTAAACATCCTTATTCCAAATGCCCTTTCAGTTACGCCATACCTTTTATATGCTTTTTCGGGCCCCCGCAAAACTTCTTTATTTGGTCTAAAATAAAGTAGATTTTTAATAGACGATGCTAGATAATACTGAAACAATTGCTACTAACCTGGCTTTTCATGATATTTCAAATACTCTCATTTTCCATGGGTTCAGTTGCTAAGATTTTAATCTCCCTACTCCTGACCCTATTCCTCAATCTAAATTATATGACCCAGTAACGGAAGCAAAAACCACATTATTAATGTTAACCAGGTTGAATTCTTTACAGCGGTATGCTTTTGACCAGGTTATCCAATTGACGATACATCGTGTTTTACTAGATATTTTTATATTGATGGCCCCCGTAGATCAGGCAGAACATATCTGTACAATATTATAATGCATTTTTCGAGGGCAAAATTAAACTGTATTTCCTTTTACTACTACAGGTATATCTTCCATCCTACTAATTGTTGGAAGGATCCACAGCGGTTTTAAGCATTACCTATTTTAGGCGCTTCTATTTCCCTTATGAGACCTATATCACCACAGGCTCCCGGAACTTAAATTGGCTTATTTAATTATAGACGAGGTATGATGACAAAACATGCTTTACAATGTATAGATTTGTTATTTAGGGATATTATGCAAATACCTACACCCTTAGGTGACAAAGGTCTTCTATTTTGAGGAGATTTTAGACAAACAGTTCCTGTTATCCCTAGGGCAACTAAAACATACATAAGAAAGTCATATATTAAATCTTCTCCCCTGTGGTATATTTTTCATCAACTATTGGCCTGGTGGTAAGGTTGAAAATTTAACATTTAAAGGTATATAATCTTTTTAAATTTTATAACTTTAAGTTGATAGGAAAACGATCATATCTTGATTACCGAGATTATATATTAGATAGTTAAAATACATTTTTTAAATATTTTCTATATTTATATTCAAACACATTTTTTTGAAAATTTGCCCAGGAAGCGCCTCCAAATTTTGATTTTTAAGGGCACCAATTTTAAAATTGATACGTGTATACTTCATTTATACTAGAATATTTTTTCATTTAATTTCGAGAAATATTTTAAAAAAATACTCAAAACGAAATAAATTTTATTTGAAAGCGAACAGATTCTTGAATAAAACGAAATATTTTTTCTATCTTTTGGACTCTCTACCCTGCTTCATTCATTGCTTATTCCAGTAACTGAAATTGGTCAGAGCAATAATATTATCATTTTTGCTCCAAAATCATTTATTTTTTTCTGAATAGATTTCACAATATTGATTTTAAAACATATAAATTTAATTTTTATAGATCATTCTGCAACTATATCTCACTTGCATAACCAACCTCTTAAATCGAAAGAAAGGAAACTAAAGAAAAAAACCAAGGTAAGATCAATTTATTTAAATTGTGATTTCTATTACGGTCTATTGTAATAAACCAATTAATACTTTTTAATTTTACTATTATTTTCTATAAAATTCAAGGAAAAAAGGTCTACCTTCCCCTGCACAAAACTTAGAATGAGGACAAAAAATAGTAACGCCGAATCGCTCTTGGCCACCCCTTCAGCAGCTATAACCGATGATATAAAAATTTCGATAAAATCAGCGGATAATCAGTCGAGCCGGCGCCGTCGCTTTTCCCGAACGCAGGAAAATGATTCGTTGACTTTGAAATCTAATCGAAAGGCCTATCGTCGCTCTGATCTAACTGCCAAACAAACTACTGCTCCTGATGCCTTAAGTAAGCTGCATATCATTGCCTAAATATTATGGTATAGACGCATACTTAGATGTTAATTTTTACCAATACTACTAACCAGCGTTTGGATCTTGAACGAAAACGGGGTCGGTTCTGAATATTTTAAAAAAGTGGTTCTAGTTCAAATTTGGAAAGTAAATCTGACGGAGTTCCTGTTCCAAACTCTGATAAATAATAGAAAAAAAGTCAAAAACACAAAGTAAACCCTCTAAAGCCACATCTATATTAATCTCTTTTGTGTATGTTTTTTCAATAAACATTAAGCACTACGTAAACTATAAAAAATATATAAATAGCAGTATTGGCTAAAAATAGGTATCTATTAGTGAATTTATTGAACATTATTAATTAAAATCTTGATGATCGATTAAGACAATTAATTAGGCAATTTTTAGATAGGTAATTTTGATTAATACAAAATAAAATATATGTAGAAAGTTATGAGTCTTATATTCGATTGAAAATCTAGATTGTATGTATTTGTATGTATTGACCTTGAATTTGTTTGCTGATATAATCTTTTAAAGTCTATGAATGAGATAGCGATATTAGTTTTTTCACAAGGTGAGAAACTTTTGTTTCAACTCTTTTTAGGATCCTTCATAATATGCACATTGTAACAAGTATAAAACATATACGTTTTTTTAGATAACAACTCAGACGCGACCATAACTAATACTCTCATCCTTTCCGTTCCTCCCTCCGAACCTTTTAATATTGCCTCTTTAAAATCGGCTCCCAAAAATCGTCATCAGGTTTGTATAAATTCGCAACAAATTTAGAATCATTGAAATTAAATATGTATATAATTAATATATCTGTTTATCATCTTTCATATTAGGTGGTGTCCTTTAACTTTGATAATCAGTTGTATCCTATAATGGTAGGCTTTATTAAGCATAGGTTTGGCGGGCAAAACTATTTTATTTTATAAGATCTAAAATTTATTATAATTTTCTTTAAATATTTTTAACGTTCTATATATTTACATTGGCCAGGTAACGTTGGAACTTGTTTTATATGGGCCCGGCAAAAAAAATAACAGGCCAGGCATGCAAAAATTTGGGATTGCCTGGTGTGCTTAATAATTTATAGGAAAAAAAAATTCTGAAACATAAATTTTTTAAAAAAGTATATTTTATTTTGCTTATAATTTCAATGATTAAATGACCTGCTACTATGATCATTCATAAATAAAATTTTTCTTTCCTAAACTTTGTGTTTTTTTGTTAAAATAAGATAATCATGGAACCTAAATCTTCAGCATTATTGGCTATGTAGTAATAAATTGAAACCGGTGTAACGTGTGATTATGATCTATGAGATTTCGAAATTCACATCATAATCCCACAGATGGGTTGTGAGATTTTGACATTAATGGCCCCCAATGTTTTTGAAGCGTTGAATCTAAAATAAAAATTTTCATGACATAAATTTATTAATATTAAAATATAGAAACATAAATGGTATAAAACCTAACTTTTTAGTAATTATATTCTATGTTTAGAAGAAAATTTTAATAATAATTTCCAAGCGATATATTGTTTCATTTCAAGAGCTCATCTATATATTTTTAGCTTTAGGTAGAATAATGGGAGATATAAATATTTTTAAATAATTATATAGTCAATCATTTTTAACCTTATAACTATGGTGGTCTGGTTGGTGTGAATTTCATTGCTTACCCTTAGGTTTGAATCCACGTACACCCAAAAATTTTTATGGTTTTTTTTCACATTAGATGGGAGTTACTAGACTATCAAAACAATAATTCAAATCCCGTTGGTATCCATTATTTTTTAAATTTTAGTTTACTTCTTTTTAAATTTATCAGCACGGTTTATCTCTCATCTGTATTTTATATTTTTAGTCTGTATTGGCAATATATTAATATTACTATTATATATTATTTTTTATAATTGGAATGTTTGGTAATATTAAGTAAGCCAACTTAAATGAGAGAGGCTCATATATTTATTAACATAACTTATAAACAAAGATCCTCACTAACATTATTCTTATACAATAATATGAAATATATAGAATAAGATTGTAATAGAAATTTTTAGAAAATTAAGAATCATGTAAGTATATTTATAGAGAAAAATAAGTTTCAAATTAAAATGTATTATATAGAAATGTTTTCAGTTTGACAGTTTCATTCAAATCTGACCTTTTAAGTTTGAATTTAAGCTACGCATATTGAAATATATGAGATTTAAAAAAATCCATGAGATTTAGAAATATTGATTAGCCATGAAATTTTGAAAATTTAAATGGCCTCCAATATATTTGAAGCGATAAAATTCAAAATCTCATGAATTCACTTTCATACGATATTAGCCGTAAGATTTTGATGGTGTGAGATTTCAAAATCTCACGGTTTTCACCTTCACACGTTATACCGGGATGGGTACAAATTTAGGGCTGGGCAAAAATTAAATTCCAACTGTGCCAGGCTTGAAAATTTTGCCATTTGCACTATATATATACACAAAAAATAAAAAGGTAAAAAAAAAATAATAAAATAAATTAAATATAATTTAAAAGGTAAGAAAATACCATGTCAATTAAAGAAAATAAATAATGTTAATATAAAGGTTAGTTAATAACCCCTTTGAACCAAGCATTGTAAACATATTACTTGAAAAGGTAATTTATTTGATCTCAAATCTTCAGTTCATATCTAAAATTTCGCAAATTTTGTTTTATAATTTTTAAATTTTTTTGGCATGGGTTATAATTATCCTCAGAATTTTTTATATAAGCATAAAAAATTAATATAAATTTTTAGTTTTATAAAGTTTGAAATATGAAATCTATAAAAAGAATGAATAGAAATGGAGATACATCAATTCGAAATCTTAATCTAAGACTCTACAAGAGTAATAATATTTAACATTCTCCTCCTTAAGATGAATCTTGTTAGTTTTTTTGTATCTATAGAAATGTTTCTTTTCATCTAACCTTGTTCTAACTTAATTTTTGACTAGCTCTTACCTTATCGTTCATTATTCCACGCAAATTTCATTTATTTGAATAGTCAATTTTATTATAATAATTTTTGTTTATTATAGAAGGTAAAAAGATAAAATTTTATAAAATAAAGTAATAATTAATAAAGTTTTGCCTAACCATTTATTTAAGTTATTTTCATATTTCTCTCGAGCAAATATTCAAAATGTTATATATAATATATTACAGATTTATCATCCAAAAAAGGAAAAGTCCCAATCAAAAAAAAGTAAAGGGTCTCATCAAAAAAGAAAAAGTGTTAATCAAAAATGGAAAATTCTCAAAGGCTTAGGAAAAAGTCCGATCTCCAATCAAAAAAGAAAAATGTTTAATAAAAAAGGAAAAGTGTCAATCAAAAAAACGAAAAGCCCAAAGGCTTAGGGTCTGATCAAAAAAGGAAAAGTGTCAAATAAAAAATGCGAAAAATGGAAAGGATCAATCAAAAAAGAAAGTCATAAAAGGAAAGTAAGTGCCAATCAAAAAGGAAAATCATTAATTTTTTTAATATCTTAGTCATTTTTTATTTATCTTTTCCTCTTCTCATTTCTGATCATTCTTTTTTTTAAGATTATTTTTATTTTTAAAATTTCATTTAATTTTTATTTCTCATTAGCATATAAATTTTTTTAAAATATTTTTTGCATATCAAATTATTTCATTACAAAGTAAGAAACAAAAATTTATATTAATCATTAATAATTTCCCCTCTTCTACAAATTAGAATATAGGTCTCCATATTTCTAAATATATTCCTTGCATTCTCCTCAGGATATTCCTCTCTCTCTCCATGCTCTATAAGACGAATTAATTCCTCCTCGTTATTGGGATTTTGATTTCTAAAAAAATCCTTCCATTGAAAAAATACATTTTCAATTGGATTAAGATAAGGATTGTAAGGTAGTAAATATTTTATTGTATGACCTCTTCTTTCTATCGATTCCCTAATTGTATGGTTATGATGAAATGAAACATTATCCATCATAAAAATCATATTCATCATGTTACCTTCTTCAAAATGATTTAATATTTCATTTACAAAGTTGTTAAAGTATATAGCGTTTCAGCGACCATCAAGAACTTCGAATCTGAATATTCCTGCAATTGTGAGAGCAGCAATGATACAGCAATGATAGTATAATTCATTGTCTTTATCCCTTGACTTGAACATTTTTAATAGCCTTTTTATTTATTTGTTAATATCCATATAACCGCCTCATTGATATTGAAAACCCACTCTCATAGATAAATATTAATTTTTCTTTTATATAGGCTATATCAATAAACCAATTCGCGTATTCTTTGCGAATCTCGATATTTGATTCGGTATTTTCAATAACTGAACGTAGTGATACTCTTTTAAAGCTATCTCTAAATCCTGAGAGTAACCATGATACCGTATTTTTTGATATTTCCACATCATATCTTTCTTTAATCATTTCACATAACCTTCTTAAGGATAAAGTGCAATCCAAATTTATACAATTTAATATATATTCTTCCTGTTATTGATAATTTCTTGTGTGCACGTGAATCTCCTTTGGGCAAACTATATTTTATTCCATTTTTGAGATGGGAGTATTTAATATTTGTCACTATCTTATAGCTTACTTTAAAAAGTGAAGCTATATTTTTGATGCTATCCTTTTTAACGCGTCAATTATTAGAGCTTTTGCTTCACTGTTAATGTTTTTTCCCCTTGTTTTTGCCTTCATATTTTTTTTTATAAAACAAAAAAAAAATTTCCTTTTAAAATATATACTCAACAAATGGAATGAATGACAAAAAAGATTAAAATCTTTTAGATTATAGCAATTACCTCATTTTACGTTTGATTATTCATAAATCAAAAAATATAGTTTTAAAAATAATTAGAAAAAAATTATTTACTTGCTCAAAAGTATTGAATGTTTCTTGTATAAATATTAAAATTTTAAAAATAAGAATTTAAATATGTTTATATTTTATTAATTTACATATCGTTTGGTATTACAGTTCAAACTTATTTAATTTTAAAAAGGTACATTATAACCAAACGTTTAATTTAATTTAGCAAATGTTATTGAATAATTTGATATGTAACCATTTTCATGAAATATTAGTTTTAACATGTTTAGAGTTCTATAGACCTCATTATTACTCAGGGTTTAAAAAAAATTGCCTCAACATCATTTCGGCATAGGATTTACCGGTAGTCGCATTTGGAGTATTTCGGTGAGTAATTAAAACATTCGCTAAATTTAACTGGTCCGAAGTTCCACCTCTCATTCCAACACGTCTTTATCGTACGTAAATAACGTCAGCCAAACCATTCGATTTGGAGCTATAAGGGGCTTATCTAAAATGATTTATATTGTTTTTAAAAAGAAACGTATTCAGATCCAGTAACTGACTGAGACAATGTAACGAGGTAAACCAAATCTAGCTAAACAATTACGCAGATTATTTACTACACTCGTCAAAATAATATGTGTTAAAGTTGCAACTTCAACCCATTTGATGAAAGGGTCTACGCAAATTATCCAATACTTTCCAGATACGGACTGCCAAATCAATGTGTATTCGTTCCCAAAGTCGGGTAGAATGTTCCAATTATATAACGGAACTTCTCTGTCTCCCGGTCTTCCTTCCTGACAACTCTTGCAGCTTTTGATGAACTCTTCAACATCAGGATCAACATTCGTCCTAAAGATATAGTATCTGCATAAAGATTTCATCCCCACTATCTCAGGATGTTTTTAAT